TTAGAGATGATTAAAAAAAAAAAAAATCCTTCCAGTAAAAATCAACATGTTTAAGACCAAGAAATAACTCTTGAGTAATTGTTTTTCCTCTCTGACCTATGAGTCAAACAAGACCCCAAATACCTTACATATTGAAGGAGTAAAATTTTTACAAGAATTAACTGATCTGAAGGAAGGCCAAGAGTCCAGACAGTTATTGCTATTAAGATAAATATCCCCTGAGATAATTTAGGAGTAGTTAGGGGCTTTAAACAAGGTAGGCTGACACACTCACAGTAAGAAAAAAGTGAAAAGATATAGAATAAAAATAAGAAGGAAGAAAAACTAGTTTTTCTTTTTTTTAGAAAAGACAAACCTAAATACTCTACTATCTAGTAAGGAAGATAAGAGATTGAAAGTGCACTGTAGGGCTGAAAAAATATTTACGATTCATTTCAGATTTTGAAATTGCATTTATTTGTAAATCTCCCACTTACTCAAGTTTCTCCAATTTCATTAATGCTTCCTGGTGTGCAGCGTTCAACTGTTGCATTTTGTCCAAAGAGGATTTCTATCAAAGCAATTTTAATAATTTCATATCAATATTTTTCAACAGAATCAGTGATGTGTTAAAAAGATATCTACCAGCATAGATTACAAAATGATTACAAAAAAATTCTACAATTTTTACCATCAGAAATAAGAAATTTAAGATAAACATGACAAGTAAAGTAGGAATTTATTTACTCATTCAACACAAATGTTGAGGTCTTACCAGTTATGTACTGTGCTAAAACCAAAAAACCAAACCCGCTGTCGTTGAGTCGATTATGACTCATAGCGACCCCGTAGGGTCTCCAAAGCTGTAAATCTCTATGGAAGCAGGCTGCCACATCTTTCTCCCACAGAGCTACTGGTGGTTTTGAACTGCCGGCCTTTTGGTTAGCAGTCGAGTGCTTTAACAGCTGCGCTATCAACGCTCCTTTAAAAACCCAAACCAAACTCATTGCCATGGAGTCGATTCCGATTTATAG